GCATTTTGACTTACCAAATTCTCTTAATGTGTAAGCCTAAAAATAGTCATGTGTGATCTTGTTTGATTCGTCTTAACATATAGATTATTAATATATAATTTGTATAATTTTTTAATATACAAATTACAAGATAAAATAGATTAAAGAAGTACATTGGATGGTGTACCAAAAGGTAAGTGGACAAACACAATGGGACGGAGGAAGTAATCCACTATTTACAGGAAGACAGTCAAAATGACATTTTTCTTAAAAATGACTCTTTTTTAGGGAAGTGTTAGATATGATTAACATTAACTATTTACTGCATCACATTGTGTGATTCTCGGTAAATTGCCATTTTGAACCTCCATAAATGGAATAATTATCACTTCACATCCTCAAAAAGTAACAAGTAATCAACGCCCTCCCAAAAGTACCAAAACACTAACAACTAAAAAATACACCCTCCAATATGCGCCCTCAATATGTTAGCTTTCTTACTAATGAATTGAAAGGATTCATGTGGCATGGGGTCGGGTTATACTCACACTAAGGATGACACCTAGATTGACACCGTCAGTGCTTCACAGACAATAATTTCTCCCAGGAAACCATCTATGCGAGATTATCTATGATAGTGTCAACAGTAATGTCATCTCTAAAGTTAAGGTAACATTTTTCTTTTGCATCGCATATGTGATGCTCGACAACTACACCGTAGCTATAAGGGCGTACGAAAAGTAACCGAAATTCATTACCAAAAGACTCATCACAATACAGAATACAGAAAGTTCAACATTGGAAGAAGAAGAAGAAGAAGAAGAAGAAAAATAGACACATATGGCGAATAGCAACTAAAAACACGAGGCAAAAAAAGAGCTAGTGCAGAAAATAAAGGGTAATAATGGAAACGAAAAAAAACTCTAGTAGTACACCTTAGTTATATTCTTACCGAGCACGCGGTCCCACATTCAAGAATGCCGACCAGGCATGCCACTGTAGTTGCTGTCGTACCCTACCCGGCTTCCGTGGGTCCCATTGGACCCGTAGTTGCTAGATGGATACGCCGGTGCACTTCCATATCCATAACTGCCGCCAGCGGTGTTGTACCCACCACCGTAACCTCCACCACTTCCTTGCATCTCTCCGGCACCAATGCCGCCAGCAGCAGGGGAATTCATTCTTGGAGCACCACCACCAGCACGTCCTGCATTTCCTACGAACCCACCATAGCTACCATAGCCTTGGTTCATGTACCCCACCATCCCAGAGGGTGATGGACCTGCAGCAGCTCCACCACCACCACCACCACCATATGGTGAGTTCCCATAGCCAATAGTCCCATACCCAGCGGGGCCCTGAGAGCCCCACGGGCTTCTTGGTCCACTACCGGGCGCGTTTGGGTTCCCATAGCCAGAACCAGTGAGTTCACCGCCATAGAAAGAGTTGGTGCCACCAAAACCTCCATAGCCACCATAACCCATGACGCCGTTCTGATGATATCCATAACCAGATGAGCCATAAGGGGCGGGGGGATACCCTACTCCACCTCCTCCTCCTCCAGTGTTTTGCGATGGCATGAACCTGTTGGAATCAGATTTATTACCACTGTACCCGTGATAGTTACCACCCGCGGAACGGGTCCCAGAGTTAGGGTTGCTAGCGTCCTTGGGAAAAGCGCGCTTGACTTCAACTTGCTTCCCACTTAAATCATGGAAGGTCTTATGCAAAACACGGTCTACGGCATCTTCAGAATCAAATGTGATGAAACCAAAGCCACGGGGTCGTGTTGTTTGCTGATCAAACATGACAACCACATCAGTCACGTTTCCATATGATTCAAAGTAGCGGCGAAACTCCTCCTCCGTTAGGGCTGGCGGTAATCCCCCAACAAATATTTTCTTGGTCCGGTTATTGCCGCCACCACCACCTCCTCCTCCTCCTCCAAAACCACCACCATTGTGGTTGCCATTTCCTGCTTTAGAGATCTGTTGTTCCTCTCTCGGTAAGGCCCGTTTGGCCTCTACCTGTACATCCACATGAAAAGATATCCATTTTCAGTAGAAACATCAAGCTCAATTTTAAGATTTTCCTTAGACAGGTTTGAAGTTTGAACTGTAAAATGTGCATCACACACAGTATTAACCACACACACCAAATGTCAGGTTTAAGCTAATACAAGCAGGAAACTTGAACAAAAATGACACATTTAGCTTCCAAATTCACCTGCAGAGTGAATTTACACTGATGACATATACTTGATTACATATTATTCCATTGAGGTTTATCAAACACCACACAAATTTAATTTCAAGATTTTGTTTTTAAACAGTTCATATCTTGGAGAAGTTTGAGCTGTGAGAAGTGCAGCAAACACAGTATAACCAAAGGCTGGGGCAATTACAAGTAGAAATTGTAACAAGAAACGGCACACTCTAGCTGGGGAAAACAAGATCAAAGTACTTACTAGTGCTAGACCTAATTTTAAAACACTTGAAAGTCAAGAAAAAAAGACTTGTTTTCTAATAATAAAAAAAGATTGAATTTTGATCTAGAAAAAGGTGTGAAGAAAAAAGAATCTTACAGTACGGCCATCGATGGTGTGCTTATCCTGAAGAACGGAGTCAAGAACGCTGGGATCTGCGAAATCCACAAAACCAAAGCCTCTGGGCTTACCAGAAACCTTTTCTCTCATAACCACAGCCTGAATCACCTGACCATATCTCTGAAAGTAATCCTTGAGCTTGTCTTCATTGGTTTCCCAAGAAATCCCACCAATAAAAAGCTTCCCTTGATCCGAATCCATGGAAGCTCGGTGCTATATCTCTGCTTCTCCTTCTTCCGCCGCACGCGGAGGCGGTGGGTGTCGGCTCTTCGGCGGCGCCTGTGTGAAGAAGAAGAAGAGAGGGAAAGATTGGGATGGCGAAGCCGCCGTCAGGGGGGGATTCACGGGGCTAAGAGAGAACCAAGAGAATTGGACGACGAGTGGACGGCTGTGATTTTCTTTTCTTGGGCCGAGGGTGGCGATTGATTTGGGGCAAATTTTGTTCACCTTCGGATTGAATATCCGCTCTATTTTGCTTCTTTATATTGGATTGCTTTTTTTAACTTTTAACCAAAAAGTACTCTCTCAATATTTGTGTGTCTTTGATTCACTGGTCAAATACTGTAATTTTAACGTCCCAATGATTTATAAAGTGCTTTTGCATCATAATTTTTTCGCGAGATTTGTTACATAAATTTTTTAGAAATCACCCTAAATGGCACTTAAACATAGATAAAAGTACCAAAATAAGACTTTCATGTTTTTTTTCCCGAAATAAGACTTTGCACTGTGGTCATGTGACTTTGCCCTGTGGTAATGTGGCAGTGTACATGTGCAAATTACTATACGTTTTTGGTAATGTATATGATAAAATTTGGGATGGCTATGGACATCTGGATTGGGTAATAAAACACTTGGGTTGAACCACATTAAAAGATTGAATCCAATCGATTAGTTAGTTCAACTCTCGAGCTTATATACCGATAATTTTCTTCACATTTTTCCGATGAGGGATACGTACTCTTAACACTCCCCCTCAAGTGGACAACCGGGCCATTTTGAATCTAACCGGTTGACCACTTGCAAATGGACTCCCATTCCCTTGATTTTTTTTTGAGCGCCAACACCTAAAGGACCACGAGCCCGCTGGGTATGGACTTCCAGACGAGCAATCGTGTTAAACAGGCCACAGGCCGTTGGGTACAACCTCCATGACAACTAGGCTAAAGACTAACGGGCCGCTAGGAATGAACGTCTAGACGGACACCTTGACAAACGAGGTAGGCTAAAACTGGCTTTGATACCATGAAAAAATTTGGGATGGGTATGGACATCTGGATTGGATAATAAGACACTTGGGTTGAACCACATTAAAAGATTGAATCCAATCGATTAGTTAGTTCAACTCTCGAGATTATATACCGATAATTTTCTTCACATTTTTTCGATGAGGGATACGTACTCTTAACAGTATATGACCATGTATGGTAATGTAAGTCCTATTTCGGGAATAAAAACATGGAAGTCCTATTTTGGTATATTTTCAATGTTTTAGTCCTACTTTGGTCTTTCTCCCTAAATTTTTTAACAGTGAAATTTTAAGTAGGTTCAACTAGTATATTCAACGAGTCATTGGCTAAACAATTGTTTGGTTATGCCATTTTGGGCTTTGCTCTAGCTGAAACTATAAAAAAAATTCCCCTATAATGGCCTTTTTTATCTCATTCGTATTTTGATTGAAAATGAGGAGGCTAGTACCTAAAAATACTCGTTCTCAAAGTTGGGGTTCATAATCTAACTTTTTTACAAGGACACAAGATGACTCTAGAAGCTTATAGTTTAACGGATTGAACTACCAATAGTTTTATGAAAAAGAAGTTTGTGAAAGAAAATTGATATTAAGTGGCATGGGTAAATTGATCGTTTTGATCTATTTTAACATTAGAGCTAATAAGACTAATACGGAGTACTATTTTCAGAAAATTGCTACTCCGTATATTTTATGGGAAAAGGAATAAACTTTTAGTAAAAACATGAATAAAATATCAAAATAAGAATTCTATGTTTCTTATTTCCAAAATATATAATATCAAAAAATATTATAAGATGCACTGTATAGTCCTATAATATTACAATGCACACTCATGTTAGAACGATTATTTAGCCAATAATAGTTTCGCGCCACTGAAAAAATCGAGAAATGAAGAATGTTTCCTATACCGACAGCAGTTTCCGTTGGGGCAATTGTAACAATTTTTTTTCAAAAACCTAGAACATACTTAAAATTTTACTCTTCAAAAATTTATGTAACAAAAGAATTATGGGAGCAACTTAAAAAAATGGACGGTCCCAAACGCCACCTACTTTCTCACAGTTTCACTAACAAGTACGGAGTAACAACCTTAGAAGGAGTGTGAGATTCTCTTTCCAAATTTCACAAAATCTATTTATGTGGTTCTTATTAAGCCATTATCATCTCCCTGTTTTTGCATCCTCCACTGAAAAAAACAAACATCATCCAAAACCCCAAACCAAACCACAATCACCTCTCTCACTCACTCATTCAAGAATTGAAAAAAAAAAACACAGTTTCTTGGTGAATTGGGATCTCTCACCACTCCATGGCTGCTGCTGCTACTTTTATCTCTGCCCCTGCAACCTTCCACGGCGGGTTTTCGGCTTCCCTGGGCGGCGAGGGCTACTCGGCCCTTGCCCGGACAATGCCCGTGGCGGTTCGGGTTTCAAGCCCGGTCCGGGCGCAACCGATGATGAAGAATGTTAATGAAGGGAAGGGGCTTTTTGCTCCAATTGTTGTCATTGCCAGGGACATTATTGGCAAGAAAAGGTTTAACCAGCTCAGAGGCAAAGCCATTGCTTTACACTCTCAGGTTCATAAGCAAAGTTCACATCTTTAGTCCATTAATGAATCTCTTATCACTTTTTCATTCTGTTTCCTATTGATTAATGCTAGCTAAATGAGCAGAAAGTACAAAGAGTGACAAGAATTATCAAACCAAAATGGAAAGAATTGAAAGATGATGAACAAATGTATGTGCTGAAATGGACGGAAAATAAGTCAAACACCGTTTGATGGCTAAATAATTCCATCAGTACCCACTTTTGAGATTTAAATATACATGTAGAAACATGAGATATAATATGTGTGAAATGTAAATATATGGACTAAAATGTATTTTTATGTGGAAAGCGAATGGGTAAAAACCATGGTTCTTTTTTTTTTTTTTTACGGTACCAGGCTAATAGGGTGTTTTACAATATATTTGGTTAGTGTTTACATATATACGTGAGAGTGGCTTGGAAGCCATTAATGGGGGAGATTGGAGCTCAATGAAGAAGATGATGAATGATGTATGTGGGAGAGGGAACAAGGCCTTAACTCACATGGACAAAGAAAAGGAGAAAGTTGTTTTAGTTTATTTATTCATAACTCAAAGAAAGTATAAATCAAAATGCATAGAACTTTTCAGGTGATTACAGAGTTCTGCAAATCAATTGGGGCAGATCCGAAGCAGAGGCAAGGATTGATTCGGCTAGCAAAGAAGAACGGGGAGAGGCTTGGGTTCCTTGCTTGACGGCTTCATCATTTATAATGGTCAGAATAATCTCAGAAGCTTTGTATTTACTGTTTTTAAAAAAGATTTCAGACAGAATTTGTTTATATTTATGCATTTCATAGTGATTTACCATTACCATCTGAATCCAAGATTAGGCCAAAATGATTGTTTGATTAAGCCAAAGATGGAGTTGCTATGTCAAACTCTGACAATAGACATAGGTGTTTCGGCATTTACTAATCAAGAAATGGTCATATCCATATTAACAAAAAAAAAGCATAGCTGAATCAGAATCTCCTCTAACAAGCAGGCAACCATCAATAGCTGCTCCTAACCCCTGCATTGTGGAAGAACATGTTCAAATACAAATATTCAGAACAAAATTATGCAAGAGGCGTCGAAAAAATATGTTGTATTAAGCAGGAATTAGGTTGGGACTTAGGGAATAAGCAGAGATTATTTGCAGTAATTCTGGTCAAACTGAAAAAAAGATGTTTTATTCAATCCTAACAACAAAAACACATGTGGATTATAGAACCTCAGTTTAACACTCACTCTTCCTAGGCTTCACATCTCTGCATAGCTTGCTACCGCATTGGCATTTGAAGGCTTTCACAGGATGATTGTGGTCATCAAAATCAATACCATAGTCCTAAAGAGCGCACCAAATTTCAAAAACCAAATAAGATACACACACACACACATAGTGAGTATTTATTATGAATAATCAAAGAGCGAGTCTTTATTATGAATAAGGAAAGAGTATGTTTTACCTACCCAGACTAACTCTTCCAAAGCATTAACGTTCCTTGTCGTAAAGAAGGCAAGCTGTAGTATATTCCATTTGTAAGAATGGGTTAATAAGTCAACAACGATAAAAACAAACCCAACAAAATCCCACATAAATCAGGGTATGGGGAAAAAGAGATGTTTCCAAGAGACCCCCCCGGGCTTCATCTCATAAAAGGAGAAATTGTTTACTAAGGTACAACTTTTTAATTTTACTCCGTACTAAGGTGTAACCGTAGGAAATCAGCAATTATGGCTCAATTGTTTAAATTCTTTTGTTGAGATTAAAGATGGAATTTAATAATGAAATACATACGTGGTAGTAGTGATGGTCTGGAGTCTCGACTTCCACAGGTATCTCAACCAAGTTGGTATCAAAACATCTATTAGAAAACAGAAGCCAAATTTAGCTAGCAATAGGCATTCATAAGGTTATACAGTAATAAAATACGGAGTTATAACCTGTGATTTAAGAATCTTGCAACATTTCCAAAATGTGTAGCATCCAAACAGAGTGTCTCTTCGTCATTCAAAACTCTTTCAGAAGTCCAGTCAGCATCTAGCAGCACAGGATAGGTATGCCTCTCATTAGCACTGTTTGCGTTCCGCTCATACAGTTCCATGTTGGTTACAATTTCTCCCACGTACTCACAAACAAACGTGCCTTTGGGCAAGTTCTCAAGCGCTCGGACCCCCCAACCTTTCCCATCAGGTGTCATAAAAACCTGATTTTTACCCAAATAGATCATAGTTACAGCAAAGATGCTCCCACTATTAGGAGTATATATTAATGCCAAGAATTATACTACAAACTTAAACATAATGAAAATTAGATTCCTTTGTTGAAATATGGCTTCTTCTTCTTCTTTTTAAGAAAAAATGAATTTTTTGAATGGGATTGTAACCTGCAAGTTCACAGATATGCCACGCTGAACAACACGGTTTCCACAATTTTTACTGCAACCACACTTATGCCAACACTCTTTGATAAACTTCCTGACAAGGTGACCTTTGCATTTCCCAGACAATCTCTTGTTACCATTTGACCTCTCAAGTGGGCAGTCTTGACAGTAAACATGTGGGTGTTTTTTAGGCTCACGGTTCATCGAGACGAAATTCTCAAGAAAGTTGTCCTTGAGTAAATTTTGCCTTGTGTAAGCAAATTCGCCAGTTGTTTCTCCAGCACAGGCGCATGGTATTTTAAGAGCCAAACAGTCCCCAATGCAACCAGAGCAACAGTCATCATCAGATATACGGGCGAGAAGGAATCTGATTCGGGCTTCTTGGAAAACGACGTTTTTGGGGATGTACACAAAGGCAGGTGGCCTTTCGTGGTTAAATTCATTTACCAGAGAAATTTTCACCTCATCTTCACCTTTACTAATGTCTTCAACAAAGTAGAAAGGCTTATGTGAAGGTCGTTACTTCCAAGCAACAATTGTTTTGCAACTTCTCTTACGTTTCATATCTTTCTTGATAAAAACGGTTTCCAGCATGTTTGAGCATGGGACCACTGGGAGTGAGGGTTTGACTTTCATCAGGTTAAGAAAATCTGGTGCAATGGAAAACGTGTATCCGGATTTAATGGGCTCTTGATTCTGTTTTGCGCGTAAATTGGTTTTGACTTCACAAATGGCGCCAGACACAGCAAGAAAGCACTCACAGGTGAATTCCATCAGCCTCAGGAATGAGAACCCAGGCTGAGTAATTCCATATGATTCAATACACTCTTTCTGAACCATTTCAACCACAGATTCTAAGCTTGGGGCACAGAAATCTAGTGGTAGCGAAGATTTGTCGTATATCAAAGAAATTCTCACTTTCTCGCTGCCAGGAAGGGATGCGATGTCCAGCCGTGAATCTGAATCTGATTTTCCATTTTGTTTCTCCTCTGAGTACAAATCTTCCGAGTCCGGGAACTCCAAAAAATATCCATTTGAAGAGTCATCTTTACATAAAGAAAACCATAAAAGTTGAAAAGATTAGAATGAGTGACCTTTTCATGCCAAAAATTGACTTGATATTTAAAAAAGATGTGGTAAGTTCAGATAGAACAATACTCTCTATGAAATATCCAACATAATCTAAAATAATTTCGAACAATTAACAGTCCATAACAAAAACAAAAGGAATCTCCTTCCAAATTGGAGTAAAGATTAACACAATCTACTATAGTAAAACATGATAGTATATTTTACTTTCCTTCTAATAAAATCCATAAATCCACAACAAAAACAATATAATGCTTTACAGAAGTGAGGGTACACTCCCATTAGCCTATATCATTTTCAGTGGGTGAAACAGAAGGACCTAAGGTAAGTTCTAAAAAGCATCCTAAGGGTGAGTTTGACTGTATATTTGCAGGAATAACATAACAGACTCGGTCATATACTCCGTAATATTTCTATCATTTTAAGAAAACAATATTTACGAAGATAGAGATTAAGCTCTTCAAAGCCATTGCCCCCGAAACCCTCCATCCCTATTGACCCAAAAGAAAATAAATGGATAGACAAAAGCCATTAGGCAACTGAAAAACCTGGGTGGTCATCAGAAAGTGCCTCTTTGAGAGATTCCATAGCAGCAGAGTGAAATGTATGAGGAGCATCATCAGCATTGCAATCATATTTTAATTTTCTTTCAACCGTGTTCGTATAAAGTGGCATTGTGTCTTGAACTTGATCATCTTCATCGTCAGACAGCACTACAATCAAATCTGGTTTTTCTACAAGGGAAAAAAGCTGTTTTGGCGAACTGGATATATATTCTTTGCCTTCTAACTTACTTTCCTGAGAGTAATCCAGAAATTCATGTTCATCTTCTGCACGCACATTTCCAAGCCAGCGGATCAGTTCTTCGTCGTCTTTCTGTTCAAGGGACCCCTAAATAAGTGTTAGCCAGCGTTGGACAAAACCCTGAGAAAAAAATGTAGAAAATCTAAACATGTAAATGTAAAGATTTACTAAAGTTTACCATTTTGTCCTCGCTGTCTAAGATGGAGTCAAGAAGAACAGAGTAGTTTTGTTCTTCAATGAGATCCCAGTTTTTTTCATAGACATCCAATAGTTTCTTCAGTATTGGTTTCACTATTTCTGCAGAATAACCAAGGGCATTCATTGCCTTGTATGCCTTTCCATACCTCCACCGCACATTGGGTGCCATTTTGAGTGTGCTTGCAGATCTTTGGAAGACTCAATGTTCCTAACATGGCAAAACAGTGTCCAATCTATCTCATATTCATGTTTAAAATCACAAAGAAATAGTATGACCAAACTCATAGAGTATTTGCTAAACCCATATCAAAATGCATAAAAATATAACCTCAAAAAGAAAGAAAAAAAGACCGAAAGAAATAAAGAATGACCTCAAAAAGCAGATGCGCCTGCAGAATATAAAGATAAGAAAGAAGAAGAAGAAGAAAGAGACATTGTAAAACCTTCTGGTTAACGTGAACAATGACCATGAGATTCAAAACCCTAACCAAACGTTAAAGGGTTTAAGAAATGCAGGTCTGTTTCAGAGCATTACGTGTAAATCTCTTGATGAAAAAAGTTTGGGTTTTGTTGTTTACCTCTTCTTTGAAGAATAATGGCAAAGAGTTTCTTGTAAATGAAGAAACTTTTAGCCAAGAACAGTGGAAAACATTGGAAAACAGTGGAGAGGAGCTTTGTGTATTGTGTAACACAAATAGCCTCGTACTATATTTGTAAAATCAAGAGCAATGGTCTTTATCTTACACCATTTATCTCCTCCCACACATTTTTTATCCAGAATTTAAAAATAAGATCTTGGATAAAAAATGTAGAGTGCGAAGAAAAATGGTGTACAACTTGGTGTGACCAATCATTTTTTTAAATTAACCGGAGTATAAGAGGGAGTATTCTTTTTACAGCAATTAGTTATCTCAACAATTACCATGTAATAGAATCATTATGAAAGGCACTGTTTTCGAAGTGTCATACTGTATTTTCCATTTTTCCCTTAGCTTGCAGCCTTGCACCTTTATCTGTGACTAATAATTTCCCGAAAAGGCACTCCTTAGTTACAAATCATATCTTCATTGTTTGGCCAAAGAATTAAGCTAGGGGTACACCAACATGGGTATCCCAAGTGTACACCAAGCCAACACAGATACACACAGACACAAAGTGTCTGTGTTGCACAAACATTTGCTGTCTGTGTGTGTCTGTGTTGGCTTGGTGTACACTTGGGGTACCCCATGTTGGTGTACCCCTAGCATTGCCCTTGGTCAAATTGCTCACGCACCCCCATGGTTTCGGACATCACTATTCTAGGTGCTTTCAAAATTTATTTCTAAAATTTTCATAGTTTCAAAATTTTGTACCCACATCTCCTCTAACTATTTTCCAATCATTTTCTGGTGATCTTCCGACAAAGAGCGGTATTGGTGCTTATTTTTCAAACTACATGGGGCAACCAACTGACCAAGCTCGTTTTGTATTTTTCATTTTTTTTGTTTTCTCCCCTTTTTTTACTTTGTTTTCTGTTGTTTAGACCATATCAGAACCAATCAGATCAGGTGAACAGAACATGGCCCAAATTGAAGGAATAAGAGTGTTGCGGCATTCCAATGCAAAGAAATTTCACACTCTTTCAGACTTTTCTACGTCAGCATTTTAGCACTTCCATACTCTTGACTTTCAGAAAAATTGCTTTAATCTTCAGACTTTGTCACATTAGTATTCTACAGTATTTTATTCTATTAGTTTTTATTTATATTTATTTAGTTATCTAATATATAATTTTATTATAAACTATCTTTTCTTCCAAATTTATTTATAAATACAATAAACCATTAAGAAAGTCAACAACATAAAGTTATAAAAAAAAATTATATAAAATTAACACGCATAAAGTAAAATAGAATAAATGCATTTCATTAAAATCATTCAAGTAAACATACCTAAAATATAATTTGTTTAAAATAAAATTTAAAACACAACAAATTAAATTTAAGGAGTACATAAGTAAACATAATTAAAATGTAAAATGACACGACATTTTCTCCTTGTGTTTCTCTATTTTGTTCCCAAAAAAATTAAAATAATCCTTTTATAATTGCATAAAAGATGTGTTTTGTTTATAAACAAGTAAAATATAAAATTGCATAAAAAAATAACAAAAAAACATAACAATATAAAATTATATGAGTAGGCATAATTGACAATTGCATTTTAAAGTCGAGGAGTTTTGATTTTTTATTACAAAATAATTGTAACTATTTTTTTTCCAAAAGAATCTTTTTATTCATTACACATATATGATTTTTATTGGATGAATAAAGTTGGGAGTCTTGAAAGTGAGTCTGGAAATTAAAAGACTCAACTTCAGACTTTTTTCATTTTCTATCCACGCCAATGATAAGGTCTGGAGAAGAAAGTCTTTAGACTGTCTTTCAAACTTTGTTCAGACTTCATACTACCATTAGGGATGTCCTTATATTTTTATCCCCCTACTACTTATTTTCAGAATAAGAGTGTTATATTTTTATTACCAAAATGTTTTTTGACATTATACATGGACATGCTTGACATTGTACGGTGTCATATTTGTTCATATACATTACTAACTTTGATATTGTAGCTTCAACTGACATTGTGGCACTAGAGCAGAAAATGAGCATCGTTGATTTTTTTTAAATGGATGAGCACAAATTTTAAAGAAAATACATTTTTGTCCTATTTTGGAATAAAAGCATTTTATTTTGGTTCTTTTCATATGTTTTACTCCTACATTTATTGTTCAAAGAATTTCTTTTGCAGGATTTTAATTTGCTTATTAATGTATAGATTCAAAATAGGAGTTATTTATAATATTCCAAAATTCTAAGAAAAGTTCTATCATCTAAAAAATTAGTCCCTCCGTCCTAAAATGAATGTTACTTTCATTGTTACAATGTCTTGATAACTTTTGTTTGTTTGTGTGTTTTTTATTAATTATTTGATAAAATAAAATAATCATGTGAACTCTTGTTTTGTAGAATTTTTTATTCATTTTTGAATGGTGTAATTTATATTTTTTTATTTATATAAAAATTTATAATAAAAATAATTTTAAAAATGATGTAATTTTACATGTCGTTTAGAGTATATATCCATTATGGAACGGAGGGAATACTATTCTAATTTTTTCTTTTGTTTTTGAATAACGTGCAAAATTCTACTCCCTCCGTTCCTTTAAACCCTTCCACTTTTGACTTTGGGCAAAAATAAGGAAAGTATAATTTTGGTTGACTTTCCAATTTTGCCCTGATGTGATGGGTAAAAGTAAGATGTGATAGTTTGGTTATTAGTGAAAAAGTATGATGTGATAGCCTGATAGGTATGGTATGAAAAAGTAGGAATAAAAATGGGTTTTTAATAGAAAGTGGAAGTGTTTTAGGAAATTCAAAAAAAATGAAAGGGAAAGGATTTTATGGAACAGAATATATATTTTAAAATGATTTTATTTTCAAGTTGGTTTAGAAATAAAATTACAACTTACATGTTTAAAAAATTCATCAAAAATTCTAATACAAAATAGTTGGTGATAAAAGTTTTAGCTTATCAAATGATCAATGAACAAATATACACAAACTAAAGTTATAGGAAACTTGGACGACTAGAATAGTAAATTGGAAAAAAAAATGGTATGAAGGGAGTAGATAACTTTCACAACTTAGGTCCATAAATTTAATTTAAATTTATGTATCTCAATAGTAAGAAAATACTCATTTGATTTATATGAAATTTACCAGATCTTATACTCATAAAAGAATTTGTCTACACATTTTTAAAATTTTGCAATATTCATAAACTTCAATTGGATTAGTTTTTTTTTTTGTAAAACTAACCATATGATTAAAAGTTAATAACTATTATGTATTGGCATTCTAAATTTTCACAAAAATCTAAGGTCGTTTGGCAAATTGATATCTTGGGGCGTAATAAATCATCTACTTTTTCTTATAAATCTTCTGCAAGGCTACAATTGAGCCGGGTTCAATCTGGACACTCCCTCGGACCCCGACCAGTGGTGCCCCAACTATTCGAATTTCTGGATGTGCCGCTGCAAAAAAAAAATCCAAAATTGAAAAGTGCCAACCCTAATAAGGCATCACTAATGCTCCATTTGGAATGAATCATTATAGGCAAAGTCCTTAAAAAGAGATCTCCATGGGGTCTAGCATTGCTTGGGATTCACAACTTTGATACACTCAAGAGTTGTAAACAGATGCAAAACCAGAAGTTATTGCCCATTTTAAGCATCATTGCTACAACTCTGATGACAATAGTAACCATAATCATGGTCAAGAGTCAAGACACACTTTCAAAACTAGAACTTGATCTTGAGCTATATTCTGCTACAAGCTTGGCAAACAATGAGGATCTGTTCTCAAGCAGACTCTCCGGCGTGTCATATTCCGCAATCAAACCTGCACAAACCCAAGAAAACGAAACCAATATTAAATGAGAGAAAGAACTCATATTTTTATACATTAGTCTTTTTTTTAGTCTGGCGTTCGGCGTGAGACTAAAAAGGACAGAAAACCCAACCTTGATCTAAGAGCAGAACCATGTTGCTGTCCAACACGGACGTGATCCTATGCGCGATGGTTATAACAGTGGAGTCTGAGAAGTGTTGTTTGAGGGTTTGTTGTATCAGATTGTCTGTTGCGGTGTCCACTGATGCCGTGGCTTCATCAAGTACCAGAATCTTGCTCTGTTTCAGGAGCACGCGGCCAAGGCACACAAGCTGCCTCTGTCCCATGCTCCAGTTCTCTCCATTCTCGCTTACTGAAATGTTTGTCCATATAATATAACATCATGGGCTGGTATTACAAGCTGATAAAGATGCTGTGAAGCGAAAATTATGAAGAAGAACCTGAAGAATCGAGTTTGCCTTCCTTTTTTCTCACTTCATCTCCCAGTTGACACTTATCCAGAGCCTAGTTACGAAGAACGAAAAAGAATTTCAATATGTGTGTTCCCACCAACAAAAAAGAACCAAGAATCTTGTGGTTTGACTTCACGGAGTTCAAGAAAAGTTTTCAAAAGTCAAAGGTGTTGCGTTTGACCGAGGGGGGCTTAATTACCTCCCAAATTTGTTCATCTGTGTACTCTTCAAGTGGGTCCAGATTGCTACGGACGGTACCCTCAAACATGGTTGGATCTTGTGGAATAATGCTCAGCCTAGACCGCAAATCGTGCAGCCCGATCGTGGATATATTGACACCATCTATAGCTATTTCTCCATAAGCCGGTTCAACTATACGGAAGATGGTCTGTATAAGAGTTGACTTGCCACTGCCTGTCCTCCCAACCACACCAGTCTTCTTCCCTCCAAACAAAGTGCACGTGATGCCTCGTAAAACAAGAGGCATATGCGGGGCATATCGAACCTATATATATCTCCAAAACAATGAATATTGCAAATATGTGTAAATGGAACAAAAAAAAAAGCTCATCGATAACTTGAACCAACTCATATTCAAAAAGAAGAAGATTTTAACCTGAAGATTGTTGATATAAACCTCTCCGTTTGAGGGCCAATTCGGGTCTGGTCTGTTGGATTCAACAATGAGAGGGGGCTCACTAGGGATAGTGTTGTACTGAAGTATTCTTTCTACTGAAATGATTTTGTTCTCCATGTTGCAAAGATTCCATACAACCCAAGCTAGTAAAGTGTTGAGATTAAGCCCATATGTCACAGCTAAGCCGGCAGCACCTGCAAATGTTTAACCAAGATATAAATATATATTATAAATATCTTTGTTCGTATAAAAACAACTCTTGATTTGAAGAAAAAAAAGAGGCATAAAATATCTCAAATTGCTCACTGGCATTAATGGTTCCAAGTGGAACAGAGATCAAGAACACCAATGAAAAGGCAAAAGTGACCACAGACAGCACATCCAACCGGAAGCAAAGCCACTCCATAGCACCAGCAGCATGAAACTTTGGACGATTATATCCATCAATCAGATTCATGCTCAACTCGTGAAATCTGGCCTCCTGGTCAAAACTTCTAATTGTAGTAGATCCTGATATAGTTTCAGCAAAGTGTTGTATGACTGGAGCCTTACATATTCCAGTTAACCGTGCCAGTTCTCGCGCTGAAGGTATGTAATATTGCTGCAATGCAAATTTTATAAAAAAAAGCCATAAACCATTCCAGTCTAGAGGGTATAAATGTACAGAAACTATAAGTTTGAGAGAGAGAGGCTACCTCTAACCAGATGCACAATGCGATCACTGGAATGAAAACAATGAAAACCTGCCATGCAACTTGAGACATAACTGCAATGATACTGACAAGCTGGATTATGGTGAAGGCAAAAGTTCCCACTTGGTATGGAATGTACAGATCAACTGCACTTTGGTCTGTGGATGCCTGTCATACAATATGTCAAGACTCAGAAAGCAGACCCTTTTTTTCAAATAATGTTAATAAAAGACGAGTCTTGATATTGTTTCAGCATTTATTTACCCTATTTAGAATGCGCCCGCACGGGGTGGCATCAAAAAAAGACATTGGAGCGCGGAAAATGCACAAGTGCATTTTATTAAACAGTTGAGTTGCTGTCTTGTATCCGGCGGTCACAAGCATCAAGGATCTTCCAAGGATGCAAATGGAACTTCCAATGGCTAAAGCAACATAAACAATGATGAGTGTAGAACTTCCAACTGGAGGTGTCTCAGTTTCTGACACCGGAGTAGCCCAAGCCATCCAATAGTTGCTTCCCACTTGAAAGGCCTGAAAGAGTATGTGTGCCAACAATATGAAGGGAACTAAGGCCCCTCCATATGCTGTAGTGATATACCTCCAATAAACAGATAAACTCACACTACCTTTCTCCCTTTCTTCCTCTTGGACAAGTTGGGCTGTTGGTTTCGCAGCACTATCAGATTCACCATTCTGAACATCTTCGTTCTGAATAGAGTTCGTGATACTAGTAAAGCTACTATTTTGTTTACTTGTGACTCCCTCACTTCCCCCAAGTTGATCTATTGAAGATAAAGCTTCCTTGTGAGCACCCACTAGTTCCATGAAGTCACTACCGTGTTCGAGTATATCTTTGTATTTTCCAGATTGCGTAATCCTTCCATCTTTTATAACCTGGTGATTGTAGATGAATCCCACTGATGAAATCGGCGATATGAAACAAAATATGGAGAAGAGAAAGAGAAACACAAGAGGTTGTTTACCAAGATCAAATCTGCAGCGGGTAAGAACTCTATTTGATGTGTGACATATATTATTGTCTTTGACTTCAGCAGACCCAATATGCACTCCTGATAAAACATACATGAATGGGAACTTTTATGCATATTTCAGCTTCAGACAAGAATTTTTATGAAACTAGAAAGATGATCAAAAGAGACGATTATCTTACATTGAACAGATGTGTTCCGGTGTGAGCATCCACGGCACTGAATGGATCATCAAAAAGATAAATGTCAGCATCTTGGTACAAAGCGCGTGCAATCTGCACCCTTTGTTTCTGCCCACCACTCAAGTTGATACCTCTCTCCCCTATGACTGTTTGATCACCAAAGGAGAGGATTTCCAAATCTTTCTTCAAGGAACATGCTTCAAGAACTCTTTCGTACTTCTCTCTGTCCATCTTCTTACCGAACAATATGTTTTCTTCGATTTTCCCCCCTTGTATCCAGGGTGACTGAGAAACATAGGCCGTAGTCCCGCATATCTTAACACTTCCTGATGATTTGGGCATTTCTCCCAAAATGCAATTTAGCAAACTTGACTTTCCGGACCCAACAGTGCCACAAATGGCAACTCTCATGCCATTCTCAACCTTAAGATGAATGTCCTTGAGAAATGGTGCAGTAGATGGTTCGTTCCAGCTGAAATTCCCATCAATAATCTCAATCGATACACCAGAACTGCCTCTTGGAAGCTTCTCTATGGCATCCAGTTGGAGGTCATCAAGGGAAAGAAATGATGCAATTCGATCGAGGGAGACTTTAGTCTGAACAATCATTGCTATTGTATCTGGAAGATTGTAAATTGCCTCCTGGAGTATCCTAAATGTGGCAAGTGCAGAGAGCACTTTTCCTGATTCAAGTGGAATGCCCATAAGCATTGCAGCGAAAAATGTAGCTACCGACACAAACGTTGGGGCCATCCAAAAGACAAAAGTAGCCACAGATGAAGTGTAAACATATTTTTTCAGCCATCCTGCTTCATTGTTTCTGAGGTTAATAATTTTGGACAAAAACTTCATCTCCCAAGCTTGAAGTTTGAGGATTCTCATGTTCTTCAAGACTTCGGACATTGCCTTCATCCTGGCATCTTTGGATTCCATAAGTTTGCCTTGGAATTTCTCTTCAAATTTCCCCAGAGGGATGTTTGCCAACATCACTATAACAGTGGCAACCAAAGCCGCAATCGAAGCAAGCCCAAGATTCCTGTAGAGAATAGCCAGTGCAAGACCCACTTGTAGGAGTACTACCCAAGGGTCATGAATGTACCAACCAAACTCACCAATCCTCTCAGCATCAACAGTCATAAAATTGATGATCTCTCCACTGGTGTGAGTCTGTTTTGAATGACATGAAAGGGTCAAGCCTTTGTCATATATTTTGGCGACCAGCGTGGCACGTGCCCGGTACCCCGCCTGCTGCACCTTAAAGAACCAGTGCCTCATCGACAAGCACTCAACCATCTTTGCTACACAGAACACAGACACCAAGACATAACCTTCATTCCTAAAATCTTGTTTTCCATTGAGGAACTGAACAAAGGTGTCAATGAGGTAGGGTCCAATATATGAAGCTAATGTGTAGGAGATTGCGCAGAATCCAGATAAGAGAATGTCCTTCCATGCTGTGACAACTAAAGCTTTCGCAAGCATGAACGTGGTTAGTTTATCACTCCCAACACTGGCAGTTTCTACCCTATCTTGAAAAACTGGGAAGGCTTCTCTAACACTATCCAAACCAGAAAGCTGAGGAACATCCTTAAGGTCCAATATTTTCGTGTTGCCAACAGAAATCAGAGGACCCATCCAAGAAAATGTGAGTTTACTAAAAAAATTGGCTTTGGCAAATGCAGTCACAGTTTCATCTCCAGAACTTTCTTCTTTCACATCAACACCATTTAATAGGGGTTGCCTAAGAATCTCATCTCCTCCTTCTTTTCCACTCAATAAACACACCAAACATAAGAACAAGCCAAACACAGATGAAACTGCGTCAGCAATCCAATATTGAATGGGCAAAGCTCCTTTCTTTTTGTGATAAACAATGTCTGCGGCAAAGCAGTAACATGAGAGGGCGAAGAAAAAGCCCCACCAGACCCTCAAAACAAATGGGTACTTAACAATTCCACCCGAATTCCTCCGACTGAACAATACAAAGAAGATTGCAAACCAAGAAAAGGTTTTTACTGAGAAATCAAAAAGGACCAGAATTTTTTCATCAGACCAGCCATTTGTATACCAACAAAACAGAGACAGGAAACAGAGAACGAAATTCAGAAGCGAGAAACCCAAACAAGAGAAAATGACGGACTTGAAGCACGCGGAACTGCGCTTCTGGACATTCACCGGATTGTTCTTCGCCTTCTGCGACAACCAATGCACGAAGAGAGAGAGCAACAAAACCACGTGCAGTGAAGCAGAGGCGGCGCGGAGGAAGGCGGGGTTGATGATCAGAGGATCGCCTCCTCCACCGGAACTGGAAGGAAACGGGTGAGAGAGCAGAAACCCAAACATGCCCGATTGTGATCGAGCAGTTTCCATGGATTCTTTAGAGGCAGCGATCCTCAGGAGAGTATGTTCTCTTGATTCTTGAAGAGTTACATTCTTCTTTTGTGGAAAAAATTTGTGTTGTGTGGGCCGTGGGGTGGGCTAAAGAAGTATGGTCAAAGTCGGCTGGCTGGAAGAAAGAAGCCAAACGCTGGAGGAGACTGGAGTGGCATGGTGGCCCACTGCCTAAAATCATGCTGGACTAACGGATCTCGTGGGTTGATTCTAGTGGTAAGGCATTCCGTTCTCGTGAATTTTGGATAAAATTGTGATACTATAGATTATTTTTTTAGAACGTTAATCCTAAAAGTTATTGTCAGATAATTTTTTTAAAATGATAACGTTAATATGTTGATATTAAGACGGGTCTTAGATCAAGTTTAAGTTCGGTTACTTCATATTCGGATCGATAACTATTAGGTCTAGTTCCAGATGTTTTTCTATTCTTAATTTTTCATAATCAAAGTTGATAAATTTTGACCATTAATTAAATAGAATTTATATTAGATATTGATATAAGATTAATGTTATTATATTTATATTGTAAAAAATTTTCAAAATATTATTTTATCTAATTTTATCATTGGTTGAGGACACAATGAAATTTTAATATTTCAAAAATTGTTTTCAAATTGAAATTATTGACATTATGATAAGTCCGTTTTGTACGCACTTATCTTCTCTATATTTAATGTGTTGTGATCCAATTTTGGATTAAACAAATCAATTTCTCAATGGTTTTTATATCTTTTATTCATAATTGTAAAAGTGCACAAAAGTTATGTCTTGTTGTAAAAAGAATAAAAATTGAGTCAAAAGTAGTACAAAAAGGTAAAAGATTGTGCAAATGGAATGCAACGGAGCAAAGGAGCAAAAGATGGCGAAAATCCATGAAGTGAAAAATGTGCATTCAAATGTGGCGATGCACCCCGTCAATAAATTTGAGATTTGTTTGGAATTTGAAGTCGGCACAGAAGGAAAAGTTGTTCAGAATAAAATTTTGAGCAAGACTGTATTTTTAGAAAATATTTTCGGACCGGATCAAAATCCGGCCAACCAGGTGCTGCCACATGGCGCGACCTGGCTGGCCGGCCAACTGTAGCAGCAGCAGCAAGGTGGCACGTCACATTTTGCAGCCACCACAAATCCACAATTTCAATCATTCAAACAAAGAAAGAAAAAATTAACAAAAAGGGAGTAAGGGACGAAAGAAGAATCGCCGTGCAAATCAGCCAAACCTGCGCAGCCATACGCACTACTACTCCAGGCCCACGCCTGTCGGAGGCCTGGAGTGAAAATTTCTCCTATAAAAGGAGGGCTTCGCCCCTTCATTCTAATCAAGCCTTCTTCCGGGTCTTTAAGGCCCGGAACTCCATTCTCCGCTCCGTTCTCAGTTAAATTTTAATATTTTAGTTTAGTTTTGTTCCGGTTGTCCCAAAGTGGCTCCAACTCTGCTCTCTGTTGTAAGTTTAAATACTTGCAATTTTAATAAAATGTTCGTTTCTTTTATGCACTGTTGATATCTAGTATGGGTTAAGGCCCAGATTAGGGT